AATAGGGAGTGAGGGGGGTGTCTCAGTGCAAAGGCCCTGTGTTCAAACCTCAGTACTGGGGAACATCATCTGAATCTTGGTCCTTCATTTTAGAAAAACAGCAAGTACCACAGAACCATTGCACAGACTCAGGAAGCTGAGGCCTCACCCAACCTTCTTTTACATGCACAAAAGCAGCACTAAGGGCTGGGGATTTAGCTCAGTGGTTCCAGCGCCTGCCTCACAAGCGCAAGGTCCCGAGTTCAATCCCTGGTACCAAAAAAAAAAAAAGCAGCACTAAGAGCCATCACTCACTACACCTACCCCCAAGCCATGTAAGTGTTTCCCGAGGTGACCCAAGGTAACCTCAACACACAGCAAGGTAGCTGCTGCCACAGCTGGTCCAGGAGGCCTGCAACAGGTTAGGAGAGAAGGTAGGGTGACCTCGCTGGCTGCTGCAGTGAAGGCAGTGATAGCCCCAAGGGCACCATCTGGAACGCAGGAGATGCTGACCAAACCCACTCCCAACTACGCAGGAGGCCAGGCATCCCAGACTACCACCCCACCCCGGTGATCCCATCCTGGACACTGTCTGGCTCCTGGCCCCATGTCCCCTTCCCAGGTGGTGACCAGCAGCCAGAAGCAGAACTTCCTCCTGCAGCTCTCCCAGGTCTCCAGCCTCTGTATTTTGACTCAAAACAAAGAAACTTTTAAAAAACATTTCAGTTGAAACTTGCATAATTCTTCCAGTGAAGAAATCCTCCCTTGGCTTTCGCAATCCTTAGAAAGAGATGCATTATTACCACAGAGTCCGGCCGCCGCCGGCCACGGACACCTCCTGCCAGACAGCCAGGGAGCGGGCCCCGGAACCGCTGCCTCCTCCAGGGCCCTGCGGGCAGTGCAGCTCAGACCTGGGCTGGGGCACCCCCCATGCCTGACTCCGGGGCGGGGCTCAGCTCACACTTAACCCAGACTTCCTCACACTCAACATCCTGTCTGCCCTTACGCGACATCTCAGACAGACATTACACAAACCGGCTGCAGGGGAGGTTGAGAAACAAGATGCCACAGTCAATGACCTTACTCTCAGAAAATCTATGCTGCCCGAGGGATGCCAGGGAGGCAGCAAGGGACAGAAGTGAGAGCTGCTCAACAATCCTGCTGCCCCCCGAAGACAAGGGACCAAGACCCACTGCCAGAAGGGTCCAGGAGACTGCCAGGACAGACACAGAGAAGTGCCAACAGACTGTGCCTGGAGAATGACCCACACGAGGCTCTCCTCCCTACAGAGGTAGAGCAAGGTCACCTGAATAAGTGGGCAGGGCCAGGGTGCACACCGCTGCTGGGACCCCGCTGGATCAGGGTGTGGGCAGAACTTTGAATGCATGCTCAGACACTGTTCCCCCTTTGAGAAGACCCCACTGGCCTTTGTTCTAGAGCCCTAGGCCTGCTGACCGTGCCGCTCATTCTGAAGGGGCTCCCTGCCCAGGGGCCTGTCCTTTTAGCACGAATGGTACCCCATCTTCCCTACCAACCACCTGGAGAAGTCACCACTGAACCCCAAGAAAGCCCAACAGAAAACAGTGTAGTAAACACTCTTGGAAAGGAACCCAAGGGACCAGGGACAGCTGAGCCCCGTCCGGACCCAGGGCAGCCAGGTGAGTAAGTACAACCCCCAGGCAGCAAACAGAGCAGCAAGGGGGGGGGGGTCCTCCCAACTCCCCATACCATGCCATGCTCTCCTGCCTCAGCTTAAGAGAAAGGCGCAAATCACTGAGAGGGCTCCCAAGTCCAGCATCCAACCCAGCCCCTGCATCTGAAAGCGGTTGCCAATTCCAAGCCCACCTTAGGACTTTGTGCTCACTAAGGCTGACCACCTGGCCAGGAAATTCTTCAAGAGGCATAGGTAAAAACATTCCAACTTAAGGCACCCAGAGAATTCACATCAAGTCACCCACAGGAACAAGGCCCTGCAAGACAGGTATGGTCACCTAAGAAGCTAGACTCCTCGGTCAGGAGGATGTGCAAACCACAGGCGGCTACGGCCAGAGGGAGGCACCGCAGCACCTTGTTGCCAGCCTGGGAGAACAGCCCTCAGTTGCGAGCAAGACCCACTGTGGGGCACAGTCGTGTCCTGGCAGCAGGCCAAGCAGCAGCTCACACCACCACTGTCCACATCCTTTTCGGACAGACAGCAAATCTGTGCTCACAGAGAGACAGCACATGAAGCCCAACAGCTCTGAGATAACCCGAGAGGAAGGGAGAGACGGGGCCAGACAGAAGGCAACGGAAGGGGAAGGCTGAGCTCCCACCTACCTTTACCCTATCTGCAACACCCAGGACACAGCGCCCAGAATCCCTAAAGCGGTGAGGCACAGAGTGGGAATGTGACACCAACCCCATGAAGTTCCAGTCGGACAGCAGCCCACAGGGGTTGCTCCAAGTGACTGAGCACTGGACAGCCTGTGTGTCCTTCCCAACTACACTTGCAGGAAGCTGGATCTGGCGGCCACCAGACAACAATTCCTCTACTCTCATGACCTCGGGAGACATCCCCAAGGAAGACCACCAGGCCTCCAGGCGGTCACAGCACTGCTGACCTGCACACCGAGTTTTCAGGCTCAAGGCTGGAACCCCAACCCCTCTCAGCCGAACCTAGGAACACAACCCAACCCCAGTCAGGCCACCAAGAAGCAGGGCAAAGGTAACCAGGGTACCAGAGACCCAGGAAAAGCACCCACCTCCCCGCCGTGGCTGCAGAGAAGCGCAGCCCGGTCCCACTGTGGCAGGATACCCAGCGCCTCCACAGATCCCCAAAGGCATCCAGCTCAGGCTGCCCTCAGCAGGTCTGCCTGAACATCATGCCTGCAGAGTTCCAGCACACTCTTTGTTCCTCCTGCTCTCCTCCTCGGATCAGAAACGTTAAAGTAAGCTACAAAGGAAATGAAAAAATCAAAACACATTCTGTGAATCTGTGGCAAGAGGGAGTGGGAGGAGCCAAGGGCAGCAGCAGTGAGGCATCCAGGCCATCCTCCCGGGCCACCACTTCCCACATGGCACCCTCGAGTGTGCACAGACAAGCACATGGCTGCTGGGGGGGGGGGGGCCTGCACAGGAGACCACACAGCCATTAACCCCAAACGCAGGGGCCCTAGCTGAGGGCAGAGCCAGGGCACACAGGCTGGGACACCCCACGAGGGAGACAGCCCTCCAGTCCCTCATCAGGGAAGCACGCAGAGGGCGTCAAAAGTGCAGGGCCCCAGGCCGAGGCTGCCACTGTTCGAGCACTTTCACCTCTTCGTCACACTCGAGGAACTTCTCCTACATCAGAAAGGAGGCGTCAGACCCTTGCAGAGAGCACAGTGCCAGGGTACCAGCCGGAATGACCCAGCAGTGGAACCTGTCCTGGCCTCGTCCCTGTGACACCGTCCAGCCTTCTAACCCAGCAGAGCTCAGCCTTCCTTGAGCCACAAGGCACTCACACCCAGAACCACAGGGCCTGCTAGAAGGGAGCGGCTGTCCTGCTCAGCAGCATCTGGGACAAAGAGGCTCTGGAAAGGCCCAACAGAAAGCCCACAACACACACGTGACCCAGGGTCAACAGAAACAGACACACCCTGCTCCGGCAAGACCCTCACGCTCGCTCCGGAGACAGCGAATGGGCCTCGGCCAGTCAGCCAGCTGCAGGGTCTGCCAAGCCAACCTCATCCCTGCGCACGTGGCAAGGGTGTGGGTATGCCAGGCCAAAAGGACCTCTGGGCACAAGGAGCTCCCAGGACACAAGGGGCCACGAGCCCGCAGGGCTCCTCCGCAGCCTCATCCCAAGGGCTGCAGGCAGCTGCACCTGGGTGCTGGCCTGGCCGCGCAGAGCCGCCACAGAGCCCACAGGCGCACATGCACACCCCACTCACAGCCCTACTGAGCGGAGGCGACAGGCCCTCTTCACAGCCCCTCCCCCACAACTCTGACACTCCGCTGGAGGGGCGCCCAGAGAAAACCGGGCTGCAGCATCTATTCACAGATTTAGAAAAAAAGTTTGATGCAATAGCTGAATTAATTAGGCCTCCCCAGAATAGCTGAGCCAATGCAGCACTCTGCGTGTGCAATTTAACAGGCCTGGATATGTGAAAGAAAAGTTACAAACATTTGGGACGTGTGCAACAAAAAGTTCCTGTGGACTCCAGGGGACAATTTTGGCATCTGGTGACCCTGAAGATGCCCAGCCGGATCCCAGAGTCTGAGGGCAAACAACAGCGCCTGGGCAGCAGCCCTCCACACCCAGCCCTTCTGCGCGTGGCAGAGAGGGGAAGAAGGAAATGGGCCAGCCCCAAACAAATCGCAGACCATCAGCAACTCCAACACTCAAGGCCCAGGGCCCTGACCAGGCCAAACGGTCCTCACCCCACATGGGAGATGCTGAGAATGTTTCCCTGCAGGCCTAGGGAGTCTGGAAACACAGGCTGGAGTCTCCAAGTCCCAACCCTGCCACTGCAGCCCAGATACTTTTGTGTCTGTGTCCCAAAACGTGAAGACACAAAAGGAGGAGGCTGGCAAACCAAACCAGGCTATTTGCAGGGGACCAAGGCCAGGCCCGCTGCTGCCAGCACTCTTAAGAGGCTTCTGGGGTGATGACAACAACTCTCACCCCGACCATGTCTAGACAGGAGCCCTTTGGAGACCTGGACCTGAGCTCCCAGCCTGAGTCCGGCCGACCTAACTTCCTGGAGCTTATGGCTGGCCTCTCCCTGACCAGACAAGGCCCAGTGTTCTGGGCAATGGGCCTGGGGCTCTCGAGGGCCTTTCCACTCACCAGGCCTGGCCCCCCAACCTCCACTCAGGCTCGGCCTGGGGAAAAACCCACCAGGCAAGACGCCTCCCTCCCACGCCTCAGGGCCCTAACAACAGGGAGTCAAACAAAACAAACCAGGGGGTCCCAGCCTTGGCCAACCAGAGCCCAGCCACCCAGGAGGACCCAGCACTGTCAGCACAGACACTAGGCCCACAGGCCTGGGGACACTCACCCGGGGCACCCGCCGCTTGTACTTGTTGCCGTAATCAAACTTCTCTTTCACGTCGTCAAGGCAGCGGCCGAGGCGGGCCTGCTCCTCCTTGCCCGTGTAGTCCTGGCTCAGCAGGATGTAGGCTCGCCAGTTGGCCGAGTCAAAGCCCCAGTGGCAGGTCCGGTTCTCCAAGGCCTTGTGAGAGTGCACTACGAACTTGTGCGGCGGGTACATGAGGCGGCAATCGAGGCACTGGATACAGGCTGCGCTGGGGCTGCTGTACAGCTCGGGCACCAGCAGCCCCTTGCACTTGCCAAAGCACTCGTGGTACACGCGGACACTGCGCTCGCTGAGCTCCAGGCCGAGCGCCAGGCTGGCGGCCAGCTCCTTCTTGCAAGGCGGCGGGTAGGCGCCTCCGTAGAGCAGCGCGTTGCACAGGCGCTCGGCGTCCGTCTTGGTGATCAGCCCGCACGAGGGCGCAGAGAAGGGCAGGATGCCCATGACTTTGAGGATCTCCAGCTGGTCAGCCGTGCAGCGCGAACAGTAGATGTGCAGCTCGTCGCACACCGAGTTGATCTGCTGCAGCGAGAAGTCGCGCAGCACGGAGTTGAGGATCTGTGGCAGGCACAGGCGCTTCTCACCGCCCACCACGAAGCAGGAGATGGTCTCGCCCTCCAGCACGGTCTCGCAGCGCTCGGTGGAGCGGTCGGACGGCATGAAGAAGGGCCCGGGCAGCACCGGCGGTGGCGGCTGGATGGCGGGCAGGTGCAGCACGGGCGGCGGCTCCGTGGCCGCGGGCAACGGGGCCGGCACTGAAGCGGCGCCCGCATCTTTAGCGCTCTCCTTCTTGTAGGCCTCTTGCGCCCAGCGCGCAGAGAAGGCGGCCGGGCCGCCCAGGGAGCTCATGGAGCTCAGGTGGAACTGCTCCAGCGTCTTCTGCAGCCCCGGGTGAGGCTGAAAGCCGCCGCGGCCGCCCGCCGCCTCCATGGCGCGATCGGGCTCCCCGGGCCGC